GCTGGCCGTCACCTGTCTGAGCTCCCTTCTGCGAATCCAAGGTGAGTAGAGCAGGCGTGCTCCAGCCCTCTGCCCTCCTCCGTAGCACTACCAGAGCCCCACGGGCTGGGCCCCCTTGACAGGAGGGAGAGGCACCGTGCACGGTTCACCTCTTGTCCCCATCCTGTCCTCTGTCTTTCCCCCGTGGAAAGCGGTCCTATTTCCAGAAGCATGACTTCCCTTTTCTCCCTGTGTTCTTTCCAGCCAAAACAGTCAACACAGTCATTGAGACGGGTGACATCAAGAGCCTGTGCGAGGGGCTGCATGCCTGCAGCATCGCCTCTCAGCTCCAGACCACGTCCAAAATGGCAAGAGTAAGTGGACCCAAGAAGGGGTGGTGGGATCTCTGTCCATAGAATTCTGCATGGCCCTATGCTGCTCCCAGCCTCTGACACCATTTCCAAAATGAGCTGTCACCCTGAGACTGCTTTTCTCAGCAAGTAGCAGGAGGCTCTGAGCTACGTCTGGCCTTCAGGCACCCAGAGCAAGGAGCTGATGCCACGACATGAGTTTGTGTGTGTGTATGTGACTGTGTGTGTGTGTGTGCATGTGTGACTGTGGCTGCTGGGAGGTAGGCTTTGCTTGTAAGCAAACGCCATGGGTGCAGAAGCTGAGAGAAGGCTCAACCGCCTTCCGTATCAACAGCAGGGTACAGACAGCAGGAGCGCTGTGATTGCCGCCTGAATGAGCGGCAAGCTGCTGAGCTAAGAATGCCCTCCAGACTGCTTGGTGTTTTGAAGAGCTGCAGCAGAGCAGTGATGGGATCTCTCCCGCTTCTCATTTCTCTGCAGATTGTGTGCAGAAACTTCCCCCTAGAACGCACCGTTGACTTCATGGCGGCCATCAAGGAGACCATCCGGAAAGCCAACGGAGTGCGTGTGCGTGCGTGTGGGAAGTGGATGACCACCTTCCTGCAGATGCACGGGAAGGACATCTGTTGGAACGTAAGAGACTTTCTCCCACGTGTCTTGGACTTGTTCTGGCCATTGCACATGGCTAGGCCCTGCAGAGTGCAGGATGCAGCAAGTCATTCTTTCTCCCCTTCTTCTTCCTTCAGGTGCCTCCGATCCTCTACATCCTGCGCAGCATCACATCGTTTGCGCAGCAGAGCACGTTCCTGCCCTTCCTGTGCCAGGCGGTGGTCATCCTCACCCGCTGTCACACTGAGGCCGTGATGAGCAACTTCTCCCGGCCGCTTGGGCCAACGGACAGGTACTGGCACTCCTGCCTTTGCTGTGCCTGAGGTCACAGTTGTAGCTGGCCTCTGCCAGAGGAGTCCGGGGAGGAGGCAGCTTTGAGTCTGTTTGAGGTCACAAGTCACAACTTGAGACTCTCCTTTTTCTAGTGAGACGTGGAAAAGAATAAGAGAGTTTTGCCTTCAACGCTGGAGGCGGTAGAAGAACGAAGAGAAAGACAAAGAGGAAGAGGAAGGGAAGAGAAGGAGGAGGAGAAGCAAAGCGACGAGAAGCAAAGCGGAGAAGCGAAGAGAGAAGCGAAGCAAAGCGAAGAGATACCATTAATCACATAGAGAATTGGAATTGTATTTGAATTGTAATTGAATTGTAATTGTAACACTATTGTTATTAATATCTTTAATAATAAATAAATAAATAAAACCACTATTTATATTAATATTATTAATACAAAAAATCTCTCCGACAATAGGATTGTAAAAGCCAAATGGGAGGTGGCAAAAGTTCAGACACTCTTCCTTATCATAGCTGAATCAATTGGTTTGTTCAGAATTATGGAACAGACTCTAACATCTTCTTAGAGCATTTCCTGCCTAGGAAGAATTAGATCACATTATTCTTGGAAATGTAGAAAGCAAAGGATGATTAGTTATGGCTCTGACCGCTTAAGGACTTCCTCCCCAAGATGGGCTGCTGTGATGGAAATGATGTTCCTTGAGTAACAGACCAACAGCAAAAAGCACAGAGAGCAGTACTGCAAATTGGTGAAGCTGGTTGTGTGGAGGGCTTCTATCAGAATATTCTGCAGTGGTTTTAAAGGTTTGTTTCCAACTGCTTGAGTTTCCATGTGCACCCTGAATGGCGAGTATGTTCATCCCTCAGTCTGTCACTGGCAGGAGATGTTATGTTACGAGAAACTGGATATGAGCAAGCAGGGTGCGCTTGCAGCCGGAAAGCCAACTGTGGTCTGGGCTGCATTAAAACAGGGGAGGCCAGCAAGGAAAGAGAGGTGGTAGTCCTCCTCTACTCAGCTCTTGCGAGGCCCCGTCTGGAGTACTGCATCCAAGGCCTGGGGCCCCCAGCACAAGAAATACGCAGAGCTCTTCTATCAGGTGCAGAGGAGGGCCGCTAAGATGATCAGAGGACTGGAACACATCTCCTACGAGGAAAGGTTGAGGAGACTGGGCTTGTTTAGCTGGAGAAGAGAAGGCTCTGAAGAGACCTCACTGTGCCCTTCCAGCTCTTGAATGGAGCATACAAACAGGAGAGGGAACAACATTTTACATGGGTGGATATGATAGGACAAGGGGGGATGGTTTTCAGCTAAGACACAGGAGACTTAGGTTAGATATTAGGAGGAAGTTTTTCACACAGAGGGTGGTGACA